TTTGCTTGTCAACTTTTTCAGGTAAGTAAAAAAAAAATTTTCTCTGGCTGGCCGCCCCACTTTCAAAAACGATGCTACGCCACTGCGAGAACATGGTGAACACAGTCAATAAATGTTTTGTTATACTTTCACTTGCATTTTTTTTTACATAGATATACGTGTATTTTGTACTGTCTTTCGAAATGTAACATCAGGTCCGTCTCTTTTGAACACCAACGAATGAAAATGAGATTAAGCTCCGCCCACATATCATCGACCGGTCCAACATCTCACTCAGCGGTCCAACATCGATTTTTTTATGCCCGCTCAGCAAAACATTAGAGATGTTAGACTTTTTTTCTTTTTTCCGTATATAGATTTGTATAGGAACAAATTTTTAAAGGTATAACATTAAGTGAAATTGCACACAATTCTTTGTTTCCTTGCGTTTTTGGACTGAATTGCAATTAAAGCAATTAAATGATATCTATAAACGACGAACATGGGATATGTTATTTTAGAATACTTCACGAAATTAACGACAAACTATGTCAATGAAAGCAAAATAATTCATTAGAAGTCCTTATTGAAAAATATAAACGTTCAAAAATAATAGGAAACCAATAAGGAAGAGTTTGTATTAAAAGATCATACAAATGTATTTCACACATGTCAAATTATGATTTGGAAATATGGAAAACAAAATACAGTATGTTCTTTAGGACAGATGATACAAACAAAAAATGGAGACCTGGATTGGTATTTTTTTTTACCCAATTCCATTGAAAATGATGCAAACAATAAATTTCTAGAATATAAAGAAATTGTAAACCTTCTGTGACATTCAAAATTCTACTCTTCTAAAACCATCCTTATTATTTCATACAAATATTTTCACTTCAAATTCCATTTTTGTGCAACTTGAATAAAAAGATAAAAACTATGCAGAATTTGAAATTATTAAATGTATACATGCTAGTATACTGAGGCAAATAAAATACATGTATGTCAATATGCATATACAGATTTGATTGCTTATTCTTTATTTGTTAAGAAATTTTATGGAATATTTATCACACTGTAATGATGATTTTATAACCTCATAAATTTTTCATTTCACATGCTGAATACTATCATTTAGTAAAAAAAAAAGAAAAGAACAGTGTGTTTATAAGCATTGGGTCGCATGTGAAGCGAGAGACATAGCCAAGACCATCGCTTTACTTGTTGAAGTACATGCAGAATTGAAGCAAATGTATATATTCATGTTCGGTAAATCAAAATTTTACACAATCCATGGTGTTTGATTTATTTAGCCTTTATTAAACAGTTCTAATAGATGTAACAAGAACATAAAGTCCGCCGATAACCTGTTTCATACGCAATAACTGCTCATTGCGCTAAAAATAGCGACATATAAAACTAATAAAACAAACGGGGCGGGGCACTTTGAGAGGGGCGAGAGACAAGTTTTGCTTGCATTCAAAATCTTCCTGAAATATGCCCGGAAATGATAGTGTTATACACAGACAGAATGTATAAAACAACTTTGACCTTTTGACCTCAAAATCAATAGCACTAGGCCACAGGGAGTTGTTATGTAAAATTTCATTGCAATAGCTCAAATGGTTCTAGAGATTCGTGTGGAAACGAAAGTGTTTTCACAGACAGAATTTGCTTATTTATGACCTTGACCTTTGACTTTTTGACCTCAAAATCAATAGGGGTCTTCTTTAGTCCATAGGGAGTTGCTACGCTAAATTTCATTGCAAAAGCAAATGTGTGGAAAGCAAAGCGTGAACAGAAAATATGGGGAGGGAGTAAGCAGACGGACAAACCCAAATCAAAACTTTTCAACACAAAAACTATGCAGTGAAACTTATTCAGCTAATTCATTAAAACATGACCCAAGTTTGTTTGTATACTCTGTCCTTAAGTATAGTTCTTATGAAAAGTGTATCTATAAGCATTGGGTCATTAAAAAGCGGAGAAGACCATCCATTGTTGAACATGTAAATTCAAGCAAAGTGATAGGAAATGAAAACTTAAATTGGGGTTAACCAAAACGTTAAGGAAGTAGACATGTAAGTTGTTTAAAACATGCCAACTGCTTTCCACAAGTAGCTTGCATTTGAACCAAAAACCAGCCGCAACACAATTGTTTTTCAAGTGGGGAAAGGGGGACCTTTGAAACAAGTTATCAAGCATTCAAAAGGTAAACTGACCAAAATGTAGAATTCTAAATGTGAGGCTTCTCTAGGGTTTTTTGGTATATTTCCCCCCTTTTTTATCCAAGACTGTAATTTGCAAATGTTTGACAGCAAAGCAACGAACGAATTAGGGGAGGGAGTAAGCAGCATCCAAATCAAAATTTACATATCAAAACTACAGCAAAAAGACTATTCAAAGAGAAAAAGTGGAATGTCGATCCTTCCATGTGTTGCAAACACTTTATTCATCAGTGTTGTACATGTATGTAATTAGTGATTGATTTGAACATATTTTATTGTAATATAATTACAAAGGGATTGAGCACAAGTACTGAATACTTATAACGCCCTCTCCCTAAAATTAAATTAAATGTAATTAGTGTTGTACGTGTGTATTATACATGAACATTTGAAAATATTTTTAATCATTATTCGTGAACCTTTGGTTTTTGCTTAATTGTGTATATGTGTATGGAGAATTGACTATAGTCTATCTAGTGTATATAAATACGATCTCTAATTATTTACTAGAGAAAGATCGATAATCTTAATAGTCCGATAGAGTATAAGTAAAAATAGTCTTTCCATAAATCGTATTCAGAGAGGTCGAAGGAAAATTAATTTCTTAATGCAAAATGTAGCTCGTGAGAGTCAAGTACAGTGCAACAAGAGATGCATAAGAGTGTTAAGTAACACAGCTTCCTACTCAGTATTACGTAAATATAAGTAATCTTGCACAAAAAAGATGACTGGGTTCAAATTTCAACCTGATCAACCCCAGTGTTTCTGGCAAGATTATTCATGCTAAACTACTAGGATCAATTGCATCAAGAATTCTTGATAGTTTTGATAAAGTTATAAAAGTTGTCTTTGTTTCCATAATAGTTTTATTAATTAGCATTATTCAACAGATTTCTAACGGTGCACAAGTTAACTTCCACAATTGATAATTTAAAGATCTCCTTTATTGTCCTTGAACACTTAACCTGTGAACAGGCTTCGAGAATATATTACTGACAATATCGTGGAAGACAAGTCTCCTTTGCCATTAATTTTGGAAATGATGCATCCATACTTTCGAAGGATGATACCACAACAAATCAGAATAGTGTTGGCGTCCAGTTCACGTCCACACATGCATCAAATGAATTTTACGAAGAACAACCGAAAAACAAATAACCAATGACGCTATGACTACCAAGTTTGTTGCAAATGGTCTCTAGCTTGCTAACATAGATTAAAGATGTTCCAGCAGCTAACAGATAGGTAACATCATAGACAACAAAGTAATAAGATAGATGACATCATCGACATTAAAATACTGAGTAATTAGATTTACTGTCTTTTGTAAATAAATTATACTCGATTTGATTGTCAAATACAAATCAGTAAACGACAATACCGCAAGCAAAAGCTTCCCCCAAACTGAATCTTATTTAGAAACAAATTCAGACAACTGGAATAATCTATCAGTTTTACCTAAATCAGCGAATGGGGAAGTTAATTAACAATATGATTATCTGGATCGCTACTTCAGAATTCTAAATTAATAGTTTGTTGACCTGTTTAAGGAAGTGTGTTGTTCAGTCTGGCTTGCGGTTGGTAATCTGCGAAAAGTAGTCCAAAATAAGTTTCACTAGAGGTCCTCTTCTTTTTTTTTATTCAATAAAAATATTTTGAATTGAAAAAAATATGAAAATTAAAAGAATTATTTTAGAAATGAAATAAAAATTGTGAACCATTAAAACATCAAAAGTCTATATTCCAATAAAAAGTTGCTGCTTGCGTTAAAATCTTTCTTTTTTACCTCGTACTTGAGACAGTAATTTGCTTTCAGTACTCATTCATATTTTTATAGGAGACTTTACAAATTATACTTTTTAATCAATGTAAAACAATACCTCACATGCACTTTAAAATGATTTTACTTAAAAATCGAAGTGATGTTTATATCTGAGAGCGTTGCTCTTTGCTAGAACAATTAATTCGTTTGATTTTACCGGTTTACGGAGACGGATTTCAATAAACACTTGAGAAGAGTAAATAAAGGTCCGATTGTTTTCCTCATCCCAAACGTGTTAAACGACAAGAACGTGACGAACTCAGTGAGTCAACTAATGATAAACAGATGATTTTTTTTTGAATGTGTATAATGAAAATATTTGAGACGCAATAAAATTAAAATTCTACGTAAGAAAACAGCTTTATGGAAACAAATCAAACAACGCACCCGTGATAAATGCTATACAGAAGAAAAAAAAACGTTTAGCACGAACGCAGATAATCCGAATTCACAGATATAGCGAAATTTTCTTTGATTAATAGCTATAAAAATAACGAATTCCTAATGCGGATATCACGAATTACGTATATAAAGAAGTTATTTCATAGGTTTTAGCCAAGTTTTATTGTACATCTAGGTAAGGTACTAGTACTAGTATACAATATGTTTTTCTTTTCTGTATAAATAAATTTTACGAGGATGAAGGATATTTTTATCAATCATATTACTTCCCTGTTGGGTCTATAATAGGAAGAAATTTGTTTAAAAGTACAATTTACGTATGAAATGATAAATGTTTTGAATTTTTAAAAAAAATAAACATATTTTTCCGTTTATGAATAATGTCCCCTTATCCTGGCCACCTTCTATATTTTCCCCCCGATTATCCAATATTTCTTCAGATTTCAATGTATTACCAATGTTTATCATGGTAAAAAATCATAACACTTGTGTTTGCTTTGGTTTGTGTATTTTTTCCGTTTAATTTGACATCAATGATATAAATAAAATGTACTGTTTTTACGTATTTATATGAACATTTGTTTTAAAATACATGTACATCAATGTTGATACAACTTAACTGACATGGCATTTATATGAAATAATACAACACATGATGTACACAAAAGGGAAAAAATATTCTAAAACAAATATCATTTTTATATCAACAACGATTTTCCTTGCATGAACGAATTACACCCCTGGTTCACAGATTATAGTTTCTTTCCTAGCAAAAGAAATCTTCGAAGTCTTTGTTTTCTATCATTCGTATCGTCTCAGTAAGTATGATAAAATGTTAAGGGTAGCCGACCCCTCTCCTTAAGGATGTATTGACTCATCACCTTCGGAAGCTTTTTTTAATGGAGTTCCATAAACGTAATTTCGGATGAGAACTCTCAGCAGCGGAAGTGGAGAGCTCCATACGATTGGTGTTATCGTGTGATGACGCTGTTTGCTCGCCATGATGGTCGCTACTGACCTCGTAAATTTTGGCCATCTTTTTAAGGGTGAGAGCCTTCAACACTGAACGATACTGTCTACTTATACAGAAATAGACGAAAAAATTCAACGTAGCATTGAGAAGAACCGTCATGTCTATGATGTCGCCTACGTAGGAATATAAAAGAAAATAAAAGAAATGGCTTTCGCCTCCCTCGATTCCGGAAAGAAACGCCATTATTCCCACTGGCAATTCCATCAAAATGTAAATCAAAACAATAACCACAAGCATGATAGATGTTCTTGTGTATCCACTGGTTATGTTTGCATGGTCTTTCTGGCTGGGATTCTTAAGGTGGTCTTTCCGTTTCATCGCAGCACGAAGCTCTTTAATCAGTAAGGCACTGAGAACGATCATGGCCATGCTCGGTACTACTTTAAAAATCACACCATACAGCCAAAGCAATGTTGTTTGATAGTCCACATGGTGTCTGGCGAACATTGTTTTTCGAATCCAGTATCCAGTGAGATTTGCATTGTCCTCGGAGGAATCGTATACTTCGTAATACAAGTAAAAAGGAATTGTGGCTAATGTTGTTACAATGAAAACTATTATAACAGTCAATTTAGCTCTGGCACGATTGCAGAACTTTTTGGCGATGTTGGGTTGGCAGACTTTCAAGTAACGAAAGATGGCCAATGATATAGTCAACCAATTCGAGACTGTATGAAAAGCGATGAACTCGTGAAAGCATATAACAACGATGTACATCCAGCCTTTGGAATGGTGAATCAATTCACTCGGTCCTGTGGCCGTGAAAAAATATGTCACATACACAAGGTAGAGAAATAGTGACATACCATCTGTAAAAGCTAGAACAGTCAGTAGAAGGTTGGTGGATGTCCTCATGTTTTTTCTCGACCAAACAAATCCATTTAGAATATTCAAAATTATACCCACAAAACAGATGGTTCCACTGACATAACCGTGTATCAGACGATATCCCACGACCGGTTGAGGCACATGCTCAGAGAGCGAAATGTTCTTCATAATTACTTCTCTGATGACGGTTACAAAGGTGCTGTGAAAGTCACAATTTCTTCTTGAATAATATTATGATAGAGGAGATAGGTTGTTAACACTTATATAGCCCCCTCCCTCACTTGTTGACACTAACCCAAGGAGGAAGTCAATCCTTGGGTCATGTGATGTACGTCTTCTCTGTAGCGTTTTGTATACTTGGTCAGTTGTTCATATGACGCTTTGTTTACGGCATAGCATCTTAAAGGTTATGTAAAGAATAATTGGAAGAGTGTGCGGGGGAGAGTAAAGGGAAATGCATACGTATGAATTTCATTACAAACGGATTCAGGATGGAAGTTTCGGATATTCCACAAAAATATTTTGAAAAAATACCCACATTTTACGGATATGCCAACAATTTTTCGGATAAGCCAACAACAATAATACACGGAGACAACTGTTCTCATTAAATATTATTGTTTATAAATACTTGAACAGATGAAAAATTTACATGTTATTGAAATAAATTTCCCAGTCCTAAATTCAGTATATGGAACTTAATGTTCCTACTACAATGATACAAAAATATATAAACATCATTTTTAAAAGGTTTTATAAAAAAATATGTAAAAAGTTTGTTTATTATAATTAAGGAGTATACTAGTAATCTCAAGACTCGGTGTTCGGGAAGTTATTAAGATATGATATCATATTACTCAAGTGTCGATTTTGCCTTGAAAATAGACTATAGTTTTATTGTTTTTTATTTCTTTATTTATGTTTTTTTTAATTTTTATTTACAAAATGAACTGTGATCACTTTTGTCGAAATAATTAAAGATTGCAAAAAGTGTACTTCTGTATCAAATAAAAATATAGTTCCTCAAAATAAGTCTATGAAAAATGTACTTCTTGTAGCAAGAGATTCTGAATCATACCATTTAAAAGAGTTTGAAGCATTTTGCTGAAATAGGGTTAAAAGTGATTGGATTATATTTTCAGATACTCTTTTTTTTTTTACCTTTTTTTACAGTCAAATATGACTTGACCTTCACAGTATGAAGTGTACATGATCAATTTTTATGCTATATACATGCATACAAATGCTTTCATACATGTAACATGTACAGATTTGTCTTCACAAACAAAGGGTTTTTGGTCCACTTTGTTGGGATCGAACCAAAAACCCTTCACTAAATGGGTTGTTACATCGGCGATTGGTTCCTTCTCGTTTCTTCTAGAACACGCAAAAATACACATAACTCGTTTATAATCGTCACAATCTAAACAAAATAGGTATAGAGAACTGTTGCTTATACAACAATTTTAGACTTGTCTACTTCAAATAAACACGTACTTTTAAAAAGTGGCTATTCAAGTGATCGGTTTCCTTTACAGCTTCCTGATCCAAAAACGGAGTTTTAATTACTTTGTACTTGTCAGTCGTTGGATGACCTTGAAACGTTTTTCATCCTCAGAAAACCAAGGTCTGTTTTTGCCAGCAAAGCACGGACGGCAAGGGATTTTAAGGACCAATTTATCAAAAGCTGATTAAATACTGCAAAATTATCACAACCACGCTTTTAATTACGGTATAAAGTTTACCCGTTAAATGTAGCATCACTTAGAAAATTTCAGTCAAGATCAAAATTAACGCGCAGATATTGTCAATCGATATTCTTTCTGATAAACCTCGACTTAAATACTAAATTTTGCGCTATTTTGAGAATTAATAGTCCTTTATGACAATGTTTAAATTATAATTCTTTATGTAATAAAAAGGGATGATCAAGTCATTTCTTATTTCTTTAAATACTCGTATATGTTTTAAGAACTGTATCTACACACTGTGCGTGCATGCAGCATAGAATTACGAAATAAAATTCTAGATCACTAGATCACATCATCTAAATCACTACTACAATAATCTTTCTCATATTTTAATCACATACAATAAAACTGTATAAAACATAGAAATTATCAAACTACAAAACTCAAATTTGATTGAAATATTACTAAATTTGATTTAATTTTTAAAAAAAAAAACCACTGTAGTAGAGAGGAAAAATTCCCTGACATTTTGATAATCCTTCTTTCAATAATACCATATTATGGTAAAGATGAAGAGTAATATTGAGTGATTAATGACCTCGGGATACACTTTTGTTGGTAGCACGTGTAGCAATATCGTTTATGCGAAAACAGCTGTGGTTGTTCAAGTTCAGACAAACGTTTGCTGAGCATATCATTTCCCCGACAGCACAAGAACTCCCAAAATACCTTGACTAGTTTACACAGTGTACTCCGAAATTTACGGTACATGGTCACATAAACGAAGAAATTTAAACAACTGTTCAGGAGAGCAATGAGGTCTATGATATCTCCGACGTGTGAGTAGAGAAGAAAATAAAAGAAATGGCTCTCTCTTCCTTCCAAGCCAGACATGAAAGAGACCGCTCCAACGGGGAGCTCTGTTAAGAAGTACATGGTCACTATCACAATGAGCATTAATGTGGATCGCCTGTATCGCTGAGACGCTATATGTGAGTGGTAAACCTCTCTGTTTAAGGTATTATTTCTTTGTTTGGCTTGCATGAGTTTATGCACCATGGATATACAAAGAACAATCATTGCAAAACTTGGTAACACCTTAAAAATCACTCCGTATAGCCATAAAAGAGCCGTTTGGTACGGAACATGTGTCTGGACGAAATTTGTCTTTCGTATCCAAAAACCATTGGTTTTGTTTTCATCTGTTAATTGATATACTTCGTAGTACAAGTAAAATGGCACGGTGGCTAGTGAGGTTGCTGTAAAAACAGCAAGAACGGTCACTTTGGCTCTCCATCTTGTGCAGTACTTTTTGGACATTTTATTATGGCACACTCCAAGATACCGAAATATTGCAAGCGATATAATAAGCCAGTTAGAAAACGTGTGGAATGCAATAAATTCATGAAAGCATATTAAAACTAGGTACATCCCTGATTTGGAATGGTAGATATGTTCACTTGGACCTGTTGCAATGAAGAAATACGTCACATAAACAAGATAGAAAAATAAGGAAAGTCCATCGGCGAAAGCCAGAACGGTCAAGAGAAAATTCGTACAAGTCTTTAGTGCTTGTCTGGACCAAACAATGGCATTGACGATATTTAGAATTACTCCTAAGAGACATATTCCTCCAGCGACGTAACCGTGAGCTAGACGATATCCGCTCACTTCTGGTAAAGAATCACTCAAGTCGCTGCTGTTGTTGAACATCGTTACCCTCTTCCCAATTGGACTGTTTTGAACGGAGGAATCCTTTCTGTAAGTGAGAACAAATAAATAAAGCAATAAAGCCGTTAATTCGGGGAATGCCCAAGAAATTCAGACATTATTGAAATCGTCGTTTTAAAGGACCTGTGTGATTACCGGTATTAGGACTGACTGATCCTGTGGACATTGATTTTCCATCATTTCTGAAATAATTGTTTTCCCAGAGACGCGCTCATAACGAAGATATGAAGCGAGGACTTAAGTAATCGGTCCTAATTTATCATTTTTATTCAAATATCTTGCAAAAACGGGGCAAAAATGTAAGAAAATCCCTTTCCCAAAGACACAATTTTACGTACAACTTGACGAGTTGTGGTATTGTAAATGCGTACAATTTTCCATATGAAACAGAGACTGAAAATTTTTCCAAATATATATATATAAAAAGATCTAATTTTAAGAATCTTGCAGCTCAAAAACATATGAAATGAATAAAAACTTTAAACATAATTACCTTCTTTCAAACAGTATATTGAGATCATCATAAACACGCTTATCAGAGAAAGGCTGTTTTTTTCTGTATTTACATAAAAAGCAGTCAACCCTAAAATATAACAATAAACCGGTATATCCTTGTCCCTTTCATGAACTTGTATATTCAGTCTATAAAATCTACAGTTGTTTTAATGACACCAGAACCCGATTCGGGTCTAAAATTAAATAATAAATAATTAACATTACCATTAATGAAATATATTGAATCAATGACGCGGGATGGATCAGGCAGCAGAGCACGTAATCTATAAACAAATAATTACACCTGACCATTCTTTGATATTGTTAATTTACAGGGTATTATTGATTTGATTACCCTTAGATTTATCCCATTATCTCTGATTCTGCAGACAGGTAGCCATATACTGTGCTGGGTATGATTAGGATGATTATGATTGGATATTTAATTAATTTCGTTGCTTTGAAAGTAACCAATAAACGAAATTTAATACCCAACGAATATTTCTGCTTTTACAATAATCTAGATTTGTACTAATACACCGGTAAAGTAGAATCTCGAGGAACATTTAAATATGAGGATTGTCCCAGAAAAAAATTAACTTTTAAATACTTTTTAAAAGATTATCTGTATAATTTTCAAAAGTGACGATTTTGGTGCATGCCGATTTTTAACATTATAATATTAATGTTGGAAATCTTAACGGTTTTTTGGGATAACCCTCTTATATGTAGAAGTGTTAAGGTTAGCAGAAAATGGACCAAGGATAATAGAAAAGGAATACATCTATGTTAATTATTTCAAATTGATTAAAATAAGGATGCTCTCTTGGTCCCCTTTTCTAATTATTCTAAATGATAGCAATGAATCATATAATGTAACAAGTGTAAATATGTGTATTTTCAGATTAAATTAATGTATGAAATGAAACTTCTACAGAATAGAAAGAAATGTCTTGCAATGGATTTCGATGATATCGACTACTAGTACATTTTATCAATCTTACAATATTCATTTTTATTTATACGTTGATAAGATATATCCCTCTGAACAGGAAAAAGATAAAAGTTTCATGTTTGAATATTTTACTGGAATGCGATATTAACGGTAAACTTATAGGAAAAAATTACTTCAACTTTTCTATAGTCTACTTACCTTATTTCTGTAGTTATAAATTGCATATGGAGTTTATGTCTGCCAGTTAATTTGTTACGCAAGAGCATGCTCTACGTACCATTTCTAAAACGAGTCTAGCCATTGACGAGATTACGCAAATTCTGAAATCAATACAATAAGCTTGACAGCAAATCTTTCATTAAATGCTGAATGACTTTTTTTTATAGAAATTGTGAAACCATTATTTACACACTGGAGATTTTTCGTTTGCCCGTTCATTACAAAAAACACACAGGTATCTCCAGTCATCAGGGGACGCTTATTCCTTCATGGCATCTAAACACCTCTGATGTTTTTAAAGTATGTGTTTGCTTTGCTTTTAATTTGTATTGTTTTGATAGACATTTAAGCTTGATTTCTGTTCGTTATCTTCTTATTTCATATATTTAATTGAAAGAAGGGTGGAAAATATTGATTTAAAAAAAAAATAGAATTATTCTGAGAAAAAAATTGAATTTTCTTTTTTTTTTTTTTTTTTTTTTTTGAAGAACGCAGCATTTAGTTTTTTGTTTGTTGTTCTATGTCTGAATACAGTGATACATAAATAAAATAAATACATAAAATATGAATCTTAAATCACTTAAATTAGCAGTTTTAGAATATCTTTCTATGTTCAAAAGAATTTGAATGATAGTCCCTTGCTATCTTTAATTCTTGGTGGCTGTCATGATTTGGAAAAATCTGTACATTCACTACTAGTATATCAGAATAATTTTATTTTAATATATGCATGATCTTTCCTTTGCTGTTCTTGAGATTTTATAAAAATATGTTTCCTATATATTCATAAGTAATTTTTTGCTCGCCTATTGTAGACCAATCATTGTATTTCTCAAAGGTTTTCTAAAAATATGGCACGTGACGTTTTGCTGTAAAAAGAAAATTTAGAAACAATCATTAACTAGTATGTTGTATATTTATTATTTATGCAGATTTTCTTTATTTGATGTTTCTAGACTTAAAGAACCGCCTTTATAAAATACACCACGTGTTTATTATTTCAAATGTATTTTATTTATATTAGATATTTAAACAAAACATAAACGCCTTCCTCAGTCATTTGGCAAGAGTGCTAGAAAAGGTCTAACCGACAAAAAAGAACAGAAAATAACTTTAAATAGATATTTGAATTGTTTTAATATTAAGCGTATGCAAGATTGACCGTGGGTTTCCGAGTGTTAGAATTTTCGATTGATTTGAAATTATATCTAAGGAAGAAGAAAAAACAGCACAAAGACTTGAAGTTAAGGCAAACACAATAAAAAAAAAATATATTAATTTCGTTCATTGTGTGACAAGTTTGATATAAATCGGGCTAAAACTGTAGGAGGAGAAGCCTTTCAGATGAATTTCAAAGAAATGTTGTTTTATAGAAACAATAGGAACACCTGTCATCAAAACCGATACATAGCATTGTGTATTTTAGATTAATCTAATTGTGTAAAATGTTTAAATTGAAATCAGACCAAACTTTTGGGGGAAATGGTGATTTAAGAAATTGCTCGATTTTTTTTGTTACCATTGCAACATCCATCGTAAAAATCAAAGGTTAAATACAAATATATGTATCAAAGTGAATTTTATGCGTATACTTTTGTGCAGTGAGACTTAAACTGAAGAAAGTGTAGCATTTAGAAAGAACTTTACAAAAAATGCTACTTTTAGTAACCATTGCGACAAAAGTCATATTTTGAATTATGTATTTTACTGTAGTCTACTTGTTGAAAAAAAAAAGCTTAATCAAATTTGACTAAAGTTAATATAGGAGGATTATTCATCGAAGACTTGGATGGGCGAAAGATAAAAACTTGAACGGTCTAGCCTCTGTTATCCTAAAAAGGTTGGTCAATTAGTAAAGTAAATTAAACAAGCCTGAGTCCCAGTTGAACCAGGGAACGTTTGATTAGTTGGGGTACATGTAACTGACTTGTCGCTGAACCCCATTTATTCTACCTGGGTATGACTTACAACATGAGTAACCTTTTAAGGCTTTTTGGCAATAAATATAAACTGCTTTTTCAACAGAAAGCTCACAAGTTTATACTGCCTTTGAATCACTTGCAGTTTGGTGTTAATCATTTTAATTGTCAGAAGTATTAAGTTCTTTTAGTGTAAACAAAACCGATAGGAGAGTGATTTTAAAAGAGGAAGAAATGGGAAACAACAATTAAAGAAAATTCAGTTCTCGCGTTCGTTTTAACAAAGGGGATCCGGCACAGCTTGGCACTATGGAAATATACGAAGGCTTGTACCAAAGCTTAAATGGGTGATTAGGTATTTAGAAATGACAATTGGTCTTGGAAACAAGTTGGTGATTTCAGAAACTATGCAAGATGGTAATGTTAGATTACGCAATTCCCAAAGATGAATATGAAAAGTACTATGATATGTCATCTGAGTAAATCAACTTTGTATTAGTTCAACATTAAATGATTTAGCTTCTTCTTTTTTTTAAATTAATTTAAAAATAATTAAACCACTCACCAACCCATGAAGAGGGAGAGAGAATGAGAGTGAGAGAGCTGATTACAAAGAAATTTATATCAAATTGTCTCTGTCCATAATACAGTAGCGAATTCTTTTGTAATAAATGTCAAAGCCCTTATATCAGAAAATAATTTAAAATTACCGTTCGAGTTTTTTCTCCGTTCATTGAACTATAAGGAAATTGGTGTACAGATGGCTTTTTAACTTGCTGAATGTAGCAGAGGACTGTTCAGATTGTTTTAATTATGTGTTTTTCGAATTAGTTTTGTAGAGAGTGTATTGAGTACCTTTAAAAAGACATACGCAACGTACCTACTGATAATTTTTCAAGATATTAAATGTCATTAGATGTTCCTAGATAAATAATCCGCACCATTACATGGGGTTTTGAATAGATATCAATTCATGAAAATTCTTGAATAATTCAGAGGAAAAATACGAAAAATGCTAAATATATTTTTTAGATGTTTTGTAGAAGAAGTGCACAACAGTTTAGATGTTTTGTTTATCCAAACTTGTTTTAGAAGAAGTGCACAACAGCATATATAGACAATAAAAAGTAGCACACAGTTCCTTTAAATATTGGAACTCTTATAAACTCCCCCTTAAATGAAGCCACTTTTAGCCACAATATCCACAGGAATATCATTGATCGAAAATATTAGGATATTGAAGACAAAATTCTTTATTCAGTTATTTTCATTCATTGGTAGAAAATTAGAATTAATGTATTCTGTTTTGATTTATCAATCAGACTTGAGAATGTTCAGTCTCTGTCATTTCAATGCTGTTTAACTTTTCCCTGGAATTTTGATCACGGGAAAGAGTATTGTGAGATTTAGAAAGTTCAAGATCATTGGTATTTTCAGTGTTGCCAATTCCAGAATCTTCTTTCGCTCTAAATTTCTTGAAGAGTTTCCCCAATATGCTTCTCTTGAATTCATTACGGTATTGCCTACTTAGTGTAACATAAACGACTAGGTTTACAGTGCCATTAATAACTGTAAGAGTATCTAGTAAATCTCCAACATAAGAATACAAAAGGAAGTAAAAGAAATGACTTTCGGAGTATTCTAATCCCGATATAAATGAAACAATTCCAATCGGAAGCTCCGTTAACACGTAAATCAAAACAATTATCATCAACATCACTGTTGTTCTGTAGTATCCGCTAGAAATGCGGTTTTCGGCAGCTATGGATGGGGATATATTGACTCTCCGTTTATCAGCTTGACGTAGCTTTTTACCTATCAATACACAAAGAACAATCATGGCAAAACATGGTAAGACTTTAAAAATAACTCCATACAACCATGCCAAAGTCGTCTGATATTGGACGTGGGTCACCGCGAAAGTCGTTTTGCGAATCCAATATCCGGTGAAATTCTTATTGTCCTCCATCAGATCATATACTTCATAGTACAAGTAGAAGGGAATGGTGGCTAGGTTAGTTGCAGTGAACACGATGCAGATCGTTAAGCGTGCTCTCTTCTTGGTACAAATGTTCTTTCCCAGGTTTGGATGACACACCTTAATGTAGCGAAATATAGCGAGGGAAATGGTAATCCAGTTGGAGAATGTGTGAAAAGCAATAAATTCATGAAAGCAGATGACTACTAAATACATTCCAGATTTGGAATGGTAGATGAGTTCACTGGGTCCAGTTGCTGTAAAGTAATATGTAACATAAAGCAAGTACATAAAAACGGATATTCCATCTGCAACTGAAAGGGTTGTCAATAAGAGATTTGTCGAAGTCCGCATGTTTTTCCTGGACCAAACGATGACGTTGAAGACGTTGAATACGACTCCAATAAAACAGAGTGTCCCACCGATGTAACCGTGGACCAACCTATAACCGCTGACCTGTAGTGCGGAATGGTCACTAGCACTGGTCATTTCTTCTGTAACATTGACCATTTTCCGAATTTAGTTTTTGTTTTACCTTAATTTAAAGCAAGTGACTGGTACAACAAAGGAAGCCATGCGGAAAGCAGCTCAGCTCCGAGTACGCATCATTTCCGCTCATCTTGGTTTTCTTCATTTTTTTTATACATGTACTTAACCCCTGTTGTCCCAGTTTAAATGTTTCTACGTCTCATACATGGCCTTATGCATTTGTATCTGGAAAACGTATTTCATTCAGTTTCGGATGCGATTATTGTATTATATAGAGTAAGATATCGTTTTTCCTTTCGGAGATTTAAAAAAAAAATAAATAGACAATACTCACTACCCGAGTTTCTGATTGATATTATCTGTGTGATTTTTGAAGAACAGGTCTTTCAGCAATCGACATTATGTAAATATTGCATGTAGTTGAGTGTTACATTGAAAAATTTCACCCCAAGAAAACCACTGTCAACCGAGGCGCAGCCGAGGTTGACAATGGTTTTCTAGGGGTGAAATTTTTCAATGTTACACTCAACTACATGCAATATTTATTAAATTATACTGAATGATTTATACAAATACATATAACAGTGAACCGTGCGCGCATAAATTCTGCGCAGTCGCTATTTTTGGGGATATCACCCGTCGTAAAGCACTGCTGCCTGTTGCTACGCTGGAGGGCGTGGCTTCATTATTGAGCGGGTAATAGTGTTTTTTAACAAATGTTTCTCGACCAATCACATTCAACTAATTTACATGAAAGTATAAATATTTAGATTATCGACGACAAATTGTCATTTAACTGGTTATTTTCATTCTTATGTCGATACGATACGATATATCCCAGTGATCTTGAAATAAAAGATACAATAAAGTACGACAGATTTGTTTCATATTTAGATACTTTACTTTAAGACGTTAATCACTGCTGGTAAAGTGCGAATCGAGAAAATCTTGGTTTCGGACACCAGCTACTATTGGTTTACATGAATGAGGCAGTTTATGTCACCTAAACGATCAGAAATGATAGAACATTTGATTAAGACGTAATTATTAATGTTCGGTATGGTTTCATGCGGTAGAATTGCTTGTTGTTTGAATACATATAAGGAACAATCAGTAACTGTTTTAGATTACACCCGTTCAATGTATTTTACTAGATTATTCATATTTGCTTTGAACGTGTTAAACTCGATTAACGCTACAATATTTGTGTTAATTGTGATATGGGTATATACTATATGAATCATTTATAATTTCCCATTTCTTTAATGTTTCACAAAATTAAAACTTTTAATGCAATATAAAGTTTTCTGATAACATTGCAAGTATGGTTGCTGTATGTGCGACTCTTGGCACGTGTAATTGCTACGTTTGGCTCCTGGTTTGTTTCATAAGGTGTGACGTTTTACTGCTGTGTCATAAATGTATTGTTTTCCGAGAAATACATTTAAATTTAATATCGACACATCAGGTAGTGCATTTTTCTTGAATAAACCCCCAAAACATATACCTCCAATTCGAGGATTGGTTGCTTCTATCAAATATTTAAAATGTATTGCATATATACCCCCCCCCCCCAAATGAAATAAATAAATAAATTGTTCTTTTATCTGAAAAAATAAAGGATTAAAAAATGCAAAATTCACCGGTTAGTTTATATTGGATAACATTACTAAAAATCATGAACTTGTTTTACTAAAATATGTTACTGGAGTATATGTTCATTAAGGCTGTCTTCCAAGGTTCAATTTTAATAATTCCAGATTCATGTTGTAAGTCATCTTCTATTGACTATCTAGTACTTTAAAGTTACAAACATTCTATGCATGCAGAAGAAACAAAAAAGACCTTTTAATACCCCCCCCCCTCCTCCCCGTAGGAAATAAGATTGACCTCTCTTTAATAAGAATGAGAGTCATGACCCTACATGTTTTGAAGGGAATAGACGTTGATGCATGTAAGATTGTTTTCCTTTTATATCCCCTCCATGAATAGTTTTAACCATTGACTTGGAAAGATGGCAAAGACAGGCTTTAAGTATTTCCGATAAATAACTTGTATGGAATAGTTTAATATCTCAACAAAATATTATTATATTTGAATGACATAAAGACACCGGTCTGTTTATTAAACCTGCAGACCCGTGACATTATTTTTCAATGTATATGTAGGAAGGATGAGAGCCGGAGGTGATTTACAATCCAACCAAAAAAGATGTCCAATCGGAAAAACACAGCTCCAGAACTGTAGTGTTAACTTATGGTTTCATGTTTTCATATTTGACTATAAAGACGTAAATATAAAACCATAATGCTGCCGCTGTAACGTTGAATTTTGACCCGGGTTGAAAATTGACCCGGGGGTCATTTTTCAACGTTGAATACTGAGACCTAGGATGTTGAATTTAGACCCTAGTCCGTTGAAAACTGAGCCGGGTCGTGGAATTTTGATCATGTAACCGGTTCTAAATTCAACAGCGTAAAACACATATTTATGACTTGGTTTTCACAACGATGATTGAATCCATGGGCGTCGGCGTCGGAAAGGGCGGGGGGTTAGGGATTCTTGGAACCCCCCCCCCCCCCCCACTTTTTTGCAAAGATAGACATAATTAGGAATTGAACAAAACAATTTGTTTAGCCCCCCCCCCCTTTCAACAGGCACGTTACAGTGTACTCAAAGAAAGCAGAGTAAGTGGTAGTGCTTGATAAAATAAAAAGAAATCGGATTCTACCATCCCTCCACCACCCCACCTCCCACCCCGAAATAGGATTCTAGGGTTTGGACTACTAGTTTTGACAATGAACAAATTTTCTTCTTTTTAATTTTTTTTTTTTTTTTGACAAACATGTTTAAAATTTGATTTTTTTTCTTTTTCAATTATCCCCCCCCCCGCATTTTCAATTTTCTCCCGACACCAATGTAATCAATACGCCCTTAATTCAGTAATTCAGTTATATTCTTAGAATAAAATATTAACAAAAATATCTTAGATTTTAAAGTTAGATGTAGTTTAAAATCGCAATGTTTCGTGTAATATTTATTTTAAAAAAATCATTAGTATATGTTAATCATTAGTATATGTAAATCCTATGAGCAAACATAGTTATACAATATACAATTTAGTTCAGAAATTTGTTTATCTATATTTGCTTTTTGCTAACAACACTTCATTTATTTCAATCTTCAAATTCGTAATATTAGTATTTGGGAAATAGTGAGAGTTTAACGCATGATGCACGTACGTTTTAATGCTTATTTAGTTATGCGCAACATTAAAAACTTATAATGTCCAACTTAAAAAATGGATTTTTTTTTCAAAATAAAAGGTTTTGTGATCTTTTTGGCACAGTTAATCAAACAGTTCAAGAACGAACTCCACATATTTATTTTGTTAAGTAGATGATGGAAAGGTGGGGGTGATCTCCCTTTTTTGGGATGTTTCAATTTGCAAATAAAATCTTGTTTCATGGCAGATTTAGAGATGATGGTTTCATCATTTTCAATGGTTCTGAGACTGAGATTCTTGATTTCTTTGAACCTGGCAGTCGGTGTCATCCGCACTCAAAAAACACCTTTGAAATCTCTGTTGATTCAGTAAATTTTTTGGACACAAAATTGTATAAAGGAAGAAAATTTCGAGAATCAAACAAACTTGATATCAAATCTTAAATAAAACCAACAAACAATTTCCAATATCTACACAGAGAAAGTTCTCACAACCCAGCGTATTCAAAGGTTTCGTTAAAGGTAAATGCAAAAGACATGTGAGAAATACCTATGACACTGCTCTCAGTATATTCTACAAGACTTCAAGAAACACTTGTCAAAGAGAGGCTTCTCTGATACAGAAATAGATCCTATTATCACAGGAATAACTGGAATAGACAGAAATGAGATCCTAAATAAAAGTAATTGAGACCCCACAATAAATTGGTTATGGTTACAAAATTTAATCCGAGAGTCAGCGGACTAAAAACGTATCTTAAAATACTGGAACGAAACAAAAACAGACACAAGATGCAAAGAAATATTTACCTCGGAACCAATTAAAGCCTATAGCAAAGACAAAAGCAAAGGCGATTATGATATAATTTTTAGATCATGTTTACCACAAGAATACACTGCTAAGGTGGACCCCTGATGAGGCAAGCCTTAGGGCAAGTACCCCTTACAAAAACTGCCGAACACTCTTTACTATATTTCTATATATATTAATGAATACTTTCAACAGAAAGGAATGCCTGGTTTAGAAGTTTGGTATTGAGTGTAGGGTCCTAATAAATTTCATGGAGAAGTTTGGCTGATTGATGTCTTTATTTTTACACCAGATTTTCAGGAATTTTGTTTTATGCCCTATTCATAGTTTTGTAGTTATTTATGGATGCTATGGATTTTAGAAGTATTGTCAAAAAATTAACTTGCCATGCTTGAATACAACTGAAATCGTACACTGATCAAAATGTAAATATATACACGGATTGATATGTTTATTTCTATTATCCTGGAAAAGGGAAAAAAATGAAACTGAAACATAAGTATCGGAATACTGATTAGTTCAAATGATGTTCAGACTCTGAGGTGGGGTCAATATTCAACAGGGTCAATTTTGAGATAAGAAAAGAAAATTATCAAGCTGTTGAAAAATGACCCCGGGTATAAATTCAACGACTTTTGGTCTCAATTTTCAACGGAGAAAAATCACCCCGGTTCAAAATTCAACGTTGAAAAATGACCCTCGGTTCAATTTTCCACTCGGGTCAATATTCAACGTTACACCGCACTGCAGCTAGGAAGAACAGTCCTATGTTATCGTATGTTGGGGACCTTTTCCTAACTATTCCATTTTCCACAACGGCCATCTTTGCTATCCAAGGGGTTTTCATACGCTACTTTCCTCATAAACTGAGGAGAGTAGCGTATAAGAAACCCAGCGCAGATGACAACGGCTGGATTTGTGAACCTTACGGTTAGCTGCAGAACTGTATCTGTTCAAAGACAGGAAAGCTGGAAAAAATGTATACCGTTATTTATTGTGCACA